CTGTTAAATGAACATAGTAGCTGCCAGGGTGTGGTGGGGGGAGGCCATAACCTCTACCCAGCAGGGGTGGGGGTACAATGTGATCAGGGAGGCAGATTTGTGCCCCCGTGACACTTGATACAAGGCAGCCTGGGAGAGGATCTAGACTACAATTTATTAATATGCAGTCAAAGTATAAAGACAGTAGAGACTGTGATTGCTTCTAGCTGGGAAAATCTAGAGTGACATCTTGGAAGAGGTAGAAATTCAGCTGAGTCTTATGGTAAAAATAATTGGAGAGAGACTCCCTGGGCCCAGGTCAGTGAAGGCCCAGAGAGGAGAGAAGCAGAGGAAAGTCAGAGTAACTAGACAGGTGTGGCTCTTACCTGAAGTGGGTAGGGTCAAGTTACAGATGGCTTCGCCTGCCAGCCCTGGGATATCTGAACCTCGCTCTTCATCTCTCTGTGGACTCCTGCGTACAAAGGCTGGCCACCCTCTGTGGTACAATGGCAGCTGGCGATCCGTGTGTTTCTTGTCTTCCTGGGGACACTGGCACTCCGCCACCCCATATCTGCGAGGCGGGAGCATTGCACATATGGGCTCCTTCCATCTTCTGAAAACCCTCACCCGCCAGGAGTGGACTAACGTGGCCATGACAGCCAGTGGGGGACGAGGGCCAGACGCAAGGGCAGCGCCCTCCCCCTCTGCACATGGGGGCCGGAGGACACCGAGGAAACGGCGGGCCAGAGTAAGTCCCTCATTAGAGGACGCACAACGAGTGGAAGGTGGATAGGGAGCCCTCTGGGCTTCCCCGGTGGCTCAGTGGTAAAGAACCCACCTGCCAATGCAGGAGACGTGGGTTCCATCCCTGGTCTGGGAAGATCCCACATGCCACAGAGCATCTGAGCCCCTGCGCCTCGACTACTGAGCCTGTGCTCTAGACCCCTGGTCCACGACAAGAGAGGCCATCACAGTAAGAAGCCTGAGCACGGCGACAAAGAGGAGCCCCCACTTGCCACAACCAGGGAAAAGCCCTACAGCAAGGAAGACCAGTACAGTCAGAAATGAATGAATGAATGAATTTTAAAAGAGAGAGATGTACACATTAATCACTCATTTCAGAAGAAACCGAAAGCTGGGGTTGATTAGCAAAGCCAAGGCAGGCCTGAGAAGCCTGGAGCCATCCCATCGGCAGCCACCCTCCTGCTGTCGTGAATTTCCCTGTTCCAGGAACTGCCTTCCTGGATCCCTTCTGCCTCCTTTCATGTTTTAGAGTCATCTTTGGTAGTTAGAGGTCCAGGATCATGTTGGAGAAGGAAGAGAGAAGTATGCAGGAACTATGTAAGAGCGGTGGGTGCAATAAAATATCAATACATCAATTTTTAACATGTTTTCCCTTTATAAATATAATCTATTTTATGGAAATTTTGATTCTGTAAAAAAGGGAGCAGAAAAAACTCTCTGTAATCTTATGCCCAACATTCTAATACCATTGTTATTAAAATTCTAATGTATTTTCTTCCAGTGTTTCCACCATGATTATACATTTATAAAATAAACTTTTATGAGATTGCCAATATAATATACATTCACTCTGCTTTTTGCCACTTTTTCCACATGTTGGAAATGAATGAACAGGTTTAACCCTGAGTAAGTTTTTCAGTAACCTAAGCAGGTCTTAGGCCTCCGGCAGTGCTTCAATTTTATGCAATGAGATGTGAACTTTATCAACCAACTTCACAGGCATAATTTGAGAAATTACCAAGCGGAACCAGAAAACTAGAAAAAAAAACTTAAAGAAGCTGTGGTAGGCAGAATAATGGCCCCCCAAAGATGTCTACATCCTAATCCCTGGCATTTATGAATAAATTAGGTTTGATGGCAAAGAGAAGTTAAGGTCACTAACCAGATGAGCTTGAAACAGTGAGGTTATCCTGGATTATCTGGACAGACACAGTATATTCACAGGGATCCTTAAACATGGAAGAAGCAATCAACAGAGAGAACCAGAGATATGGCAGCGTGAGAAGGACTCAGCCCATTGTTGCTGGCTTGGAAGAACCAGGAAAAGGGTCACAGGCCAACGAATGCAGGCGACCTCTAGAAACTGGGAAAAGCAAAGGAACAGATCCCTCTCCAGGGCCTCTGGAAAGCCCTATAACACTTGATTTTATCCCAGTGGGACCCATTTCAAACTTCTGATCTCCAGAACTGTAAAATAACAAATTTGTATTGCTTAAAGGCGCTACAAGGGGAATTCCTTGGTGGTCCAGTGGGTAGGACTCAATGCTTTCACTCCACTACTCTAGGTTCAACCCCTGGTCAGGGAACTAAGATCCTGCAAGCCAAGTGGCATGGCCAAAAAATAATAATAATTTAAAAGGAAAGCCGCTGACTGTGTGGTAATCTGTTACAGCACCAATAGGAAATGAACACAGAGGCCAAGATTAGCCTTCAAACTTGAAGCAAAAATGTACCAAGATGTGCCAAATTCCAGGGTAAGGAATTTCCTAAATCTCTGCCCCATTGAGCAAGCAGCCCAGTAAAGCTCCAGAACCAAGCAGGAACTTCAGAAATGCACACTGCTGAAAAACAAGGAGCTCTTGTCCACTTCAGACAGTGCATCATGCCCATTTGCCCAGGGCCACAGCATCTCAGAGGAGCCTTGGTCTTATCACATTTAGAGGAGAATCATTGAAAGCAAAGATTCATGGGAGGAAATGAAGTTCCAGTTCATCCAGGAAAGGTCTTATTATGATGGCTCCAATTACAGGGCTTAACACAGTGCCTGGCACATAGAAGGTGCTCAACAAATTCTTACTACATGACGAATGAAAAAAATGGAGTGAGTGAAAGAACTCAAGTCATTTTGTGTTCACTGCCCTCCCTACAACTCACCCTCTCATGTTCTTTGGAAAAAGCCTCAAGATCCATGTGGGGCTGAATTTTTCAGGCTCTGTTTGCACTTGAAGTAAACTCATTTTTTGCCATATAAACTTTCTAGACATCAAGGACCAGTTAATGTTCTGTGCTTGGATTCCATGCATTCATTTAATTAACAAGTTCCAAGAAAATAGAGCCAATTGAATAATAAGCCATGCTTTCTTTCACCTTTTACTGAATTTACTTATTAGTTATCAATCTGCTTTTTTTGTTGCTTTTTTTCCAGTGCCTGGCATTAAAATTGCTTGATAAGTGAATGAATGAATGAAGGCCTTAGATACCTGTTTATCTCTTCCTAGCAGAGGAATTCCTTCATTTCATGGACTTTGGCCTTCCAGCCCTCTCTTAAGCTAAAGAGAAGTCCCCAGTGGTCCTGAAGCCTCAGCGATGGCTGTGGGCGCCCACTCTGTGGCATTTCCATCTCCTGAATCAATCAGAATGCGAGCAAACCGCACCTTTGTGTAGCAGGGCCAGCACCCAAATCCTAAAGCCTTCCTCTCACCCATCAATCAGGTTTTAGATGACCATATTCTTCTTGTTTCCTTTCTCTTTTTTTGTTAAACTATAAACCTTCACTGGTAAATTTGCCAGGATATGACGAAGAAACTCAGGCCAGTATCTTACTAACCACACCTAAGAATGGGAATTACCTGGTGTGTATGGAGAGATTGACTAGAGAGTGGCATGAGGGAATTTTCTGGACTGATTAAAGTGTTCTATATTTTATTTTGTGTGGTGGCTACAAAGGTGTATAATTGAATTGTCAGGTTTTATTAAATTGAATATTTAAGCTCTGTGCATATTATTAAATATAAATTATTACAGTATACTAACGCACATATATGGAATTTTAAAAGATGGTAACGATAACCCTATATGCAAAACAGAAAAAGAGACACAGATGTACAGAACAGACTTTGGGACTCTATGGGAGAAGGCGAGGGTGGGATGTTCTGAGAGAACAGCATTGAAACAAGTATACTATCAAGGGTGAAACAGACCACCAGCCCAGGTTGGATGCATGAGACAAGTGCTCAGGGCTGGTGCACTGGGAAGACCCAGAGGGATGGGATGGAGAGGGAGGCAGGAGGGGGGATCGGGATGGGGAACACATGTAAATCCGTGGCTGATTCATGTCAATGTATGGCAAAAACCACTACAATATTGTAAAGTAATTAGCCCCCAACTAATAAAAATAAATGGAAAAAAATCATACAATAAATAAATAAAAATTATGCCTCAGTTTTTAAAAGAGAAGGATGCTGAGATCACAATCAGTTCATCAGTCAAGAGTGCTGTGATTGATTGGTGATGTCTGCCAGGCACCACGGGGATGAAAAGAGATATCAACACAAGTACCACATGTTTGCTATTCTTCTGTTTGAGGGAGTTTCTGCCTCATCTTAGTGGTTATGATATTAACTCATCTACCTTAAAGGATTATAATGAGGTAAAAGTTATTTATATTTATATAAAGTGCTACCTAGCCAAATGTAAGATGTTATTATTCACATTTATCTGCCATGATGACTTACAGTGCCTTTGGCAGGTAGGTACCCAGAAACTTCTCCCTGGCTGAAATGAAATGCTGCCGAGCCAGATATTTTCAAACTGCAGTGCTACCCTTGAACACGGACAGAGCATGTGTGTCCCATTACTCATATGGCAAACATTGAATGCTAACACTGACTTGTCAAGCTGTCTTTCCCACGGCCATACAGAGCTACTTTTAAGGTACTGATTTCCACAGGCTAAACTAAATACTCTGTTTTCCTTTGAGGCTCTTTATCCTTTTCTGATGCTCTGTCTCAAGACGGGGTCTGGTAGTTCTCATTTCTCCTTCTCCTTCCAACTGCAAATCCACAGGAGACTTCCAGAGCTTTGCTCCTTGGGCTCTTGGTTTATGTCTGTTGGCCGTGGCATCCATTTCTGGTGTCTTCCAGCATCTATCAGGAGTCTTCCAGCATCTATCAGGAGTCTCCCGGATTACTGATGAGGATGGTTGTGCTAGCCAGCCTGTATCACTGGGGGGCTCCGGGCTCAGCAGCCCTGCTGTTTCCTGACTGGTGTCCCCACAGAGAGAGCAGGACAGAGCCTGGCAGCCGTACCTTCACTTCCGAAGCCAACCAGAGAGACAGGGCCTGCGGCAGATCCAACCTGGGTACTCAGCCAAGAGATACCTCCGCAGCCTCTTGCGGACGTGGCCCCCTGGCACCATATACAAGCTCCAATGTGCAGGTCAGTGGGGACGTGGGAAGAGGTGTGTCCTGAGCTGCCCCACCCCGCGTTCTGGTGCAAGCGTGTGTTTTCCATGAGTGTCTGAAACATCAGAATTTCAGGCCCAATTCTGTGTTAAAGGTGCTCGATCTTGTTAGCCTGCAAGCAACCATCACACCTTTCGCCTCTCCTACATTTGCAGAGGGATGGCAGCCTGAAGTCTTGCCTTCCCTCTAGCGCCCCTCAGCAGCCTCAGGCCCCTCATCCGGAGCAAAACACGCTTCCCAGGCCTACACAGAGACTCCATGTCCTCCAGTTCAACCTCGATCTTTTACAAGAGCAGGAAAAAGAGTAATATGCCCAAGGTCATTCAGCCAAAAGCAGTGCTGAGACCGGAAGCCAGGTCCTTGCCCACGCCTCTGACACCACAATCTTCCCAACACCACTGCTTCCCCTTCAGAGGGAACCTCAGATCCCCTAGGAGGTAGAAATGTTAGACTTTCTCCTCGAAGATGGTGGATCTCCAGCACTACCCACCAGACACCCTGCTGCTGAACAGACACCCCAAACGCACTCTGTGAAGGCTTGAAAATAAAAGCAGGCAGTGGCTGGGAATTAGAAATGCCAGTGTAGCACCTACAAACACACACAGAGGCACTAACCAAAAAAAGAGAAAAGTTACACTTAGATACTTGTACATATTCCTACTTTTAAAAAATGGCATTCATTGTTTATCTGAAATTCAACTTAAACTGGACATCCCATATTGTATTTGGCAAACCTATTGGGGAAGACAAGGGTGAGCAGAAGGATCTGCCAAAGCCTGCCTGGCTGGTTGCCATCTCTTCAGCATCAACAAACAGACGGGACCAGGGGAAGACTGACTCTCTCTTGCTTTATAGGTTTACTTTGGGAGAAAAGAGAAAACAACTCTCTCCCCAGTTAAGTGATGACTTGAAGGAAAATGAGAGTTGTGGGCTTGCCCAGTAATTGGTTTACCCTTCATGGCCGGCCCACGGTTCCAGGCAGTTCCACTCATCTACCGCTTGTGAGAAAGAGCCTCTTAACCAGAGATATGTTTATTGTTAGGTGCAGCAGAGGGCAGGGCAGACCACTGCCCCATAGCCCAGGCCCAAAATCTTCAAGGAGGAGAGCCCTTCTTAATATCAAAAGATGTCTCAGACCCTTCTGTGAAAGTCATGTGGCTACAAGGTGTGGTTTAAGGAAAGGTCCACGGGTCTGTGCATTCTTGGGCCTCTCGCCATAGTTCCTACCTAGCAGAGAAGTGGGACCATTGGTAAGCCCTCAATAAATACTTGTAGAATGGATTGAGAATCACAGGGGTTACAGAAGCAAGCCAGGTACATCCAGGAGGAAACTTGAGACTTCATCTAAGGCAGGAGGAGCCTTTTACCCAACCCCAAAGAAACAGCCATGTTCCTTCCACCATGTTCCCAATTCCTGGGAATGGTGGAGTGGAAGAAGCATATATGTGGTACAGAACCAGAGGCACCCAAGATATTGGCTAGAGAACCCTTTATGGGTTCTATCTGATTTTTTAATCTGTTCCATCTTCTAATTGTCTTTCTTAATGGGCAATGTCCGAAGCTAAGACTAATGCAAGTGGGGAAACTTGTAGTTACCATCAAGACCTCTAGACTGACAACCATTGTTTCTACCAATAACTCCTGACCTACTCTTCAGGATACATCAAGGATTCTGTGCTGCTTCAGGACAGTCAACTTAATGTACCAAAGAATCTCAGGCCACGGCAGGACCTTTCAGGTGTACCTCCCAAATACCATCTCCTGCCTGTCTTCCCTCCATTTTGGATTCAACAAGGAAAATCTTCTGGACAAGGTACATGTTGATTTTATCAAATCAGATCTCAAATATTGGGATTTTTAACAGCATAAAATGAAGTTTTTCAAAATAAGGTCTAGAGAGTCTTGGTTTCCTTGTCCTCATCTATAAAATGAGGGAGTTAGTCTAGACCAGCACCATCCAATAGTACTTTCTACAATGATGGAATGTTTTGCATATATATATGTGTATATACACACATGTGTGTATATATATATACACCACATGTGTATACATATGTGTGTATATATATATAATGTCCAGTTCCAATATAGTAGCCACCTGCCACATGTGGCTATTGAGCACTTAAAAAGTAGATAGTGTGACTGTGAAAATGAGTTTCAAATTTTTATTTACTTTTAATTAATTTACATCTAAATAGCTACATGTGGCTAGTGTACTGGACAGTGCATGTCTAGAGTTTAAATTTTAGATTATTTCTTACGCCTTTTTCACTCTCAGAAGAAATATCAATAACCTCAGATATGCAGATTACAGCACCCTTATGGCAGAAAGCAAAGAGGAACTAAAGAGCCTCTTGATGAAAGTGAAAGCGGAGAGTGAAAAAGCAGGCTTAAATTTCAACATTCCAAAAACTAAGATCATGGCATCTGGTCCCATCACTTCATGGCAAATAGATGGGGAAACAATGGAATCAGTGACAGACTTTATTTTCTTGGGTTCCAAAATCAGTGCAGATGGTGACTGCAACCATGAAATTGAAAGACTCTTGCTCCTTGGAAGAAAAGCTATGTACTCTTGCCTTGAAAACCCCGTGAACAGTATGGGCCTCAGTTTCTTCATTTATAAAATGAAGATGACCATACCCACCCTGGGACTCAAATGGGATATGCAGTATCTGGCACACAGCAAGTGCTCAATAAATGCTAGTTATAGACATCCCTAACTTGTGTTTTTTAAACATAATTGTAACACCCAATTGCCTATGATCACAAGGACCAAAAATCAACTTGTAAAGAAGGAAAAATAGCTCAGACTGTATCTTGAACCCTGACTGATGGTTTTTTTGGGGTTTTTTTTTGACTGATGGTTTTATAAGTTTTAATTTTATCTCCTCTTGGCCTCCTTCTCCTTGCCAGACACTGTACTGGAGAAAGTAACAAAAGCTCTGGCCACAAATCTCAGATCCCCCAACAGTGTGATGTTGGCTAAGTTACTTACGCTTCATGCACCCTTAGTTTGCTTATGTGTAAAATGGGAGTAATGTTATCTGCATTCCACCTTCTCTGGATTGTTGTAAAAAATCATAGGAGAAGACGTAGGTACAAAGCTGTCTAAGAGTTCTAAATTATTACCCCCATTCACACTGTTTGAGTAATCTGAACCCATATTTGAGATAGAGCACAAGGTGTGGTCTCCCTTCAAAACTGAAACTTCCCATACCTTGCTTGCTAACCTGTTTCTCTTAAGCATAGACAAGTGAGCCAGAGCTGACATTTGCTGAGAAAAATCTTGGTTTCCCTCACATAGATTGAGTCATATATTCAATATCACCTGGTATACAGCCACAAGGAAGAATCCCTCTCTGTATCCTCCTACGCAAAACACCCTGCCCCAACTTAGGCTGTCTGCCATGTAAGACCATTCAGCAGGTCAGCGGCCATTGGGCCAGTTTCACTTCCTATAGCCTTAGAAATGCTGATAGAGGCTACCAAGTGCATCTGACCAGGAAGGATGGCCCTGCAGCCTGGCTTGACCTCAAAGGATCATTCTAAACACACAAAAAGGTCTTTAGTGCTGCATCCTATATGCAGCTGTGGTCTTCCTGGGGACAGGCAGATCAAGGGGCTCCCTGGGTCACTAAACTGAGCAGAGCCCCTGGACCTAAGCATGAGTCTGCATCTGCTCCACCAACACTCTCAGCATCAGCACTGAGCCAAGGTCGCCCTCAGGAGCCAATGGGCAGAGGAAGGGGAGCTGCAAGGAGGGAGCTCTCCATAGGCGGACACTTGGCTGTTGACCCAGTGACACCTAGGATGAGGATGACGTAGGGAATGATGAAGGTTGGGGGACATGGGGGATGGTGCGGCTGCCCGCGAGCCTCCAGAAGTCCAGTGCTCCAACACACACAGAGCCCCTAAGGGCTTCCAGAGCCCCTGGATGAAAGACAACTCCACATCATGTCTCAGAGCCACAAGCAGAGATTCAAGGTGTTGCTACAGCAGCCCCAAACAAGGAAGGTTTTCCAGACTATTTCAGCAATAAATCTACCTTGAGTAAGTGATGAAAATAGCTGCAGGACCCTTTAAACCATCGACGAAAGATTTGTTCACTATGCTGGAGTCATCTGTTGACTCAGATCCTTCCTGGGGGTTGCACAGACAGGGTAAGTGCAGCTTGCTAAGCAGCCGTCCCACCGCAGAGGATTGTCTGAGTTTTTCCCCAAGGAAACAACCAGTAGACAGTCCCAGAAATCAAGTGCTTCAGACTGAGCTTCTCAGTGACAAGAGAGCAGAGCTGCAGGGCATCCCACCATCATCACACCTCAGTCACCCCCTAGCCCCTCACAGTTGACAAAGGGCTGTCACATGCATGATCTTGTTTGAGCTCCAGACAACTATGCAGGGAAGCAAGGGCAAGAAATCCATGTCCACATTTTACCGATGAGGAAACTGAGTCCAAGAAATGACTCAGCCTTGAGCTCCTGACTCCCAGGACAGTCTGTCCCACTGAGCCAACTGCCACTTCCATAGAGACACTAGCAGAAAAACAGAAATCAGGAGGACGGAGGAACAAGGGCCTTGATCAACACTGTTGCTCAGAGAAGCAAGAGGGAGGTAGTTTGGAAGCAGCTAACAGTGTCATTCTCGTATTTGGGCTTGCACAGTTTAGTTGTTCACCTTTGCAGGTCAGCAGGACCTGCGTGAAGGGAAAGCTGGGGCTGGTGGACAAGTGGACCAGGGCTCTGTAGCCAAGGACCGTGGCAGCCAGGGGACTCGCTTGCCACCACTCAGGAAGCAGCCCTGGCAGGAAGACGAAACCCAGACAGAGGTACCATTTCTAATGGGGGGGTCCCCTTTCCCTGGTGGCTCAGAGGGTAAAGAGTCTGCCTGTAATGCAGGAGACCCAGGTTCAATCCCTGGGTCAGGAAGGTCCCCTAGAGGAAGAAATGGCAACCCACTGCAGTACTCTTGCCTGGAGAATCCCCATGGACAGAGGAGCCTGGCAGGCTACAGTCCATGGGGTCACAAAGAGCCGGACATGACTGAGCGACTTCACTTTCACTTTCTGTCATTGTTCTTCTTGACTTTGGAGATGATACTCTCTCCCGTCACCATTTCTTGGGGTCCTCCAGAGAAGAGAAAAGTGTTAATACTTTGAGCCTATTGATCCCTGTTTTTCAAGGTGCAACTGGTAGAACCCTAGCACTGCCAGATCCTCCATGGGGAAAAAAAAATTGGGAAATGCTGTGCACCACATTCTCCTCCCAGAGAGGCACAGTGCACATTTGACCATGGACCATTTGAGAAGTTCTGTAGTTTAACTTTAACTTGTGGTTTTCCAACCTCACTTAACCACAGATCCTCCCTACACTCTTCACTCCATCTAGGCGTCTCTAGTCATCTGTAGGAAAAAAGAGTTGTTGGTCTGAGAGGTGGAAAAGCCTTGTTTTGAGTCCTGTATCTTGCTAGCAATGATGAGCACATCCAAGATACTTAACTTTGAGCCTGAATTACCTCTTTCATATATATATATATACACACACACCTCTTATCACACACACCTCTCAAGGTTGCTATGAGGATTAAATCAGTAAAAATGCTTTTTAGGGACTTCCCTAATGCTTCAGTGGCTAAAAAACCTGTGCTCCCAATGCAGGGAGCCCAGGTTCAACCACTGGTCAGGGAACTAAATCTCACGTGCTGCAATTAAGAGTTCACACGGCACAGCTAAAACTCAGTGCAGCCAAAGGGGAAAAAATAAACTTTTGAAACTCTAAGGCCTGTGTGTGTGTGTCTGTGCAACAGAGAAGCATAGATACTGTGTGCTCCTATCTTGAATAAACACACATGACTTATAAGAAGGTCATGTGCCAATGAGACAGGAAAGAGGGAGAAGAGAAGTACCACCTAGTGGGAGGGAAGAGACATTTTATGATGGACAAAAACTAGCACGAATATACTTGATGCCACAGAACTATACACTTTAAAATGGTTAAAATGATACATTTATGTTATGTGTATTTTACTGTGATAAAGAAGTCTGCCAGAAAGAAAAGACAATGATACTAGTGCTTCCTTTTGATATTTAATTTTTTTCAAGAAAGCACTATACGTCAGGCATGGCTAAATGTCATTTCTTTCTATCACCCACAATAAAACATTTTATGAATGCAATAAACAGCATCAGAGATCTGGCCACGATGACCGTGTTTTTCTTCCCAGACTGCTAAGAAGATTTCATCCTTGGAATCACAGTCTAGCCACAAGGTCTGACTGTTAGAGGAACCGGCTCTGTTCCTTTGCAAAACCTGTTTTCAGGAATGCATATCTGTCGTTCCCTAGGACACGTCAAAAGACAATCACTGTTGTATCCATGCTTCAAAAGAAAGCCACCATGAAAAAGCACAGCAAACCTCCAGGAGGACCCTCGGGCATGCCCTCTTCGATCACTCTTGGCTCCTGCATGACAAATCCCACACGAAATTCTACTACGGAGGCACCTTCCCCCACAGGAAGGCAGACCTCAGCGGTAAGAAGCCGAATGCCTTGCTTGTTGATCTGGATAAACCCAATCCTGCAGAGAAGACTGGGCATGCTGAGTGTCACTTCCTCATGCCACTCACCTTAGAAAATAACCAGCGAAGTCCAGCCAGAGGTGGGAATGAGACTAGTCCTCAACCGCACACATTCCACAATCAGACTGCCTGCACTCAAATGACCCCCACTTACTTACTGTGACCTTGGGCAAGTTATTTAATCTCACTGAGGCTCCATTTTCTCATATGTGGAATGGAAATAATAATAATACCTCCATAAGGCTATTATGGACTTCCCTGTTTGCTCAGACAGTCAAAGATCTGCCTGCAATGCAGGAAACCTGAGTTTTCCAGGAAAATCCCCTGGACAAGGGAAGGGCAACCACTCCAGTATTCTTGCCTGGAGAATTCCATGGACAGAGGAGCCTGGGAGGCTGCAGACCGTGAGGTTGCAGAGAGTCGGACATGACTGAGTGACTAACGTATTAACACTAAGGCTATTATGGGGATTCAGTTAATGCATGTAAAATACTTTGCACAATTCTTGTCCCACAGTCAGCACTTAACACATAGTAACTATCAAGATCATTATTAGTCTCTCCATCACCTGACTCAGCCATCAAGAACCCAACCCAGATCATGAGATTAGGGCTCCCTGAAGCTGCCTCAGCCAGTGTGGCTCTCCAGGTGTCTCAGCATCTCCTTGCCTCTCTTCCCATTAACCCAAAGGTGATTAAAGTTGGAAGTCAACTGTCCATCCCCATGCCTGCAACTAATAAGCTCTTGTTGCCATCCTATCTCTACAGACAAACAAGGGACTATGACTCTGCACCAGGGCAGAAGCAGCCACTTGTTCAAGGAGCCTCCTGCCGAACGATGTCTTTTCCCTCCTGTAGAACCTGCTGCTGGCTCAGAAAAAAACATGCCTGGGGATGTGAAGAAGAAAAAGGTGTGTGTGTGTGTGTGTGTGTGTGTGTGTGTGTGTGTGTATGCACGCGCATGCTTGAAAGATTAACCTCAGTCTAGGAACTAGGTGACTCAGAGAGATGTCTCCAAGAACTGGCCTTACTTGCTTCTGAGCTCACTGTGTGGAGTTGGACTAAAGAGGTAGTAATTCACTAAATGTTGAAAACAGTGAATAAGAGGAATTTCAGCTGCCCCCCATTTAAGCAGGTGGTGTTACCACACTGATGGCAACAGAACCCTTTACTCTGTTAAGGGGCTGAGGATTATCTGTAAGCATGTAAGGACAGAATTTGAGTTTCTCAGCAGCTGACCCACTTCAAACTCAAAATGCTTGGAACCTGGCAAGGGTTTTGCTTCACTGAGGGTCTGTCACCTTTGAAAATGTAGGATAAATTTTGCAGGTTTATCAACCCTTTCAGAAGTCTCAGGTGAGAGTGAAGGGGCTTCCCCCTTCAGAAGTTTCAGGCACATCTTCCTGAACTTGTGCCGAGTGGGGCTGAGCAGGAGGTCTGGAATGTTCAGCCATCGTGGCAGCTGTGTGACTTGGGCGAGTGGTTCACCGCTGAGCGGCTCCTCCTCTGCACACAGGGCTGATGCCAGCCTCACAGGGCTGATGGAAGATAAAAGGAAATGAAGCACTTGTGTGAAAGTACCTTGTGTCCAATAGGGACCAACAGCAACGTCAGTGGGGATTCATGCCATCTGAAGTGGCCCTGCGGAGCCGTGGGCAAGCCAGGTGGCCCCACTGCCAGTGAGGAGGTTGTTTTCCGTCTGTTCAGGATTTTCTCAGGCTCCCTATATCTAAGGTGATCTAAATCTTTCCATTCACACCAGAAGGATCTCTGGCTTTTCAGGTTCCTTTGGACCAGGAGTAAACAGCAGGCCTGACCTGCCAGGGTCACCCAGGCCCAGGGAAAGTCCTCAATCTCACACACAGATCATCCCAGAACTGAGCCAGGCTCAGAGGATAGGAATCGCTCCCATCATACCATGTATATGATTTAGCAGAGGAAAGCAATATTTTACACTATATTGAAACTCTGTAAATTTTTAATTACCATGGAGAAATTTAAGGCTTGGCTTGTCAGCCATATCTCACACAAACCATTTGAGTTTCCACATAGATTTCCCAATGCAAACCTTGTCAAACAAAATACAAAGGTCGGTATTCAGAAAAGGGCAGTTGGTGGGCAGCTGGCACCTGGAGAGTAGAGATCTCTAGAAACAGAAAGATCCTATATGCATGCGTTGGGTTAATCATTTTCTTAACGTCTCAAAACTGTACATATTACCCTGAATGTCGCTGGGTGAATTTCCTCCTCATTCAACTCTAAACACGTAGGATGCTTGTGTGTGTGTCTGATCTTTTTTTCTTTTTGAACACTAAAAAGTGAGAAACGTTTTTATTTTTCCTCCTGTGAAATTGAACTCCCTGAAACCCAGCACACATGTACATTTCATAGAGCCGAGTTCATATGTTAAAAGCTGCAAACTAAAAGGAAAAATTTTTAGCAACTTCAGAATAATTGGAAACAGGAAGCTCTAAGTACCACCCCTCGTGCCTCTCTCTCCCCCACCCACCCCCACCGTGCAGACACACACCGATGTTTTGGAGCTTTTTGGACACAAAGGAAACTGGGTTAAAGCTGTGGTTGATCCTGACACACAGTGATTTTTTTTTCTAGCTATCTTCATATTTCAGATGTGTGGAGACACCTAGGTATTGAGTATTAAACTCTAATGACAGAAGAGTCTTCTCTCAAAGAAATATAGAAATAAGCCTAGTTCCAAACACTATTGTAACTATGTATAATTAACTCATTTAATCCTCATGGCAATTTATGAGGTGGGCAGTATGATTACCCCCATTTTACAGAAAGAGAAATTGAGGCTTGATTACACAAGGCAAGCAAACATACAAATGTGTATTCCTATTTCTGCCCTTTCTTACCTGAAAGGTTGCAAAGTCCACAGTCTGAGCCTTGCCTTTTTCTTCCATAACGACACAAGTCAAGATTTTTCCCTCCCTAGATATGGAAATCTCAGCTCCAACATGTCAACCTGGCTCAATTTCCGGACTACAAGAGAAAGAAAGACTGTATTTCCTCACAAAGGCTCTTGAATTTACCACGTTTATACTTCTCAGAGCAGCTGCAGACTGGGTTAACGGGGACATAACCGATTCCCCTCCAACCAAAGCAGCCCCACTCTAGTGAGTTTTCCGGGTTCCAGGTTGGTCGGTTTTCCTTCTTAGCCCTGGATTCAGAAGCAACATCACACCCAGCAGCTTCTGATGCTGGAGAGTCAATAAGATGCCATATCATTTATCCCTTGCAGGCAGCAGGATTTAGATACCTGCCATATTGGGGTCTGTTTGTTTTTACATTTTCTCCAGGTACCTAAAGCTTTGAAATTACCCCTTATCTCAGAAGAACCACCCAGAGTCCTGGACCCCCCGAGAAGTCAACTTAAAGCCAGTGAGCCCCCAACAGAGCTCTTCATCTTCCCTGTGGAGATTCATTATCACAGCCAACACCCGCCAAAAGGCAAGGCGCGAAGAAGAGGTGGGTCCCTGTGAACGGGTCTCCTGAGGGAAAGAGGCAGGCCAGGAAGGACTGGGGTGTGGGACCCGCTCATGCAGCCCTCTCCTAAATCACCGCTGACCCTCTCCAGGGTCGCCCCCTTAAGAGAACTTTTTAAAAAAGAAACAAAAGGATAAATCTGCAAGTAGGTCTCTGCTGGTCATGTTCAACTCAGTTTTTAAACTATGCATTGAGTCCTTCATTAAGCAGAGCATTTTGCTAAACTGTGGAAGAAAATGGCAGTCAGCCATACACGTAAATAAGTCCAGGGCACCATAGACGTTATAAAGGTGCAAGAATTTTCAGGCAGCTTACAACAAGTAAATTCCATATATAATTGAAATTGAAAAAATAAAAACCTGGTTAAAAAGAGTAGAGAAATAAATTTTATCAGACATCTGCAATGAATTCATTGCCTTTGTTAAGCACTGGATTTAGATGAGCTACCTGGCAGCCAGGATAAAAAGGATATTTGGATCTTTGGATTTTGGTTTTATGAAAGATCAAAGTTTGTCTGAAGAGCCACTTTCTTGATTTTTTGTAGTTTATTCTATTGAAGTATAGTTGATTTACAATGTTGTGTTAATTTCTACTGTACAGCAAAGTGATTCAGTTATACATATATATATAGAGAGAGACATTCTTTTTCATATTCTTTTCCATTATGGTTTATCACAGGATATGGACCACAGTTCCTGTGCCTTACAGTAGGATCTTGTTTGTATTCATTCTATATATTCCTGTTTGCATCTGCTAACTCCAGACTCCCACCCCATCCCTACCCACCCCCTTCTCCTCCTTGGCAACCATCAGTCTGTTTTCTGTGTCTCTGAGTCTGTTCCATTTTCCTGATTGTGAATTAGGTAACATTATTGTGTAACATTAGATGATTTCTACAATCCTTGTCAGGAAAGAGATTTTGCGCTTCTAAGCAAAGCGCTAAGAGAGTGTGGGTAAGGAGAGATCAATTCCAACCTAAGACTCAGAAAGAGGCTTCTGAGTGGCCACTCAGTTCACCCTGCACACAAGCAGAAACTCTTTCTGATCTTCCCAAGCCATTCCACAACACCCTGGCCAAAGACACATCATTGCCCCCTGGGAATTTTCTGGGCAGCCTGAGGCAAAAGGCAACTCTCTAAACAGCTGACTCCAATTTTGAGAAGTCCTAGTTCTGAGCTTTCTAGAAACTTCGGCAAAAACTGCCACTGATTTCTCAGTTTTCACTCTCCAGCTGTTGGAATTCTCACTATGAAGAATGTCATAACTGTTAAGCTTAAAAGACTGGTCAATGGCAGGATGCATAGAGGAACTTTCTGAGATAATGAAAATGTTCTAAATCTTAGTTGGTTGCATGGATATATATATTTATCAAAACTCATTGAACTGTTTACTTAGGATCTGCTTGCTTTCACTATATGTAGATTTTGCCTTTCCAAAAAATTACGCAGCTCCTTAAAACATACACACACACACAGCATTACAGTATTTTTAAATGCAGTGTTTTAAAAATTATTATTCAGGTCTCTAAGGCCAATAGATCGGGAGACACTTGCCAGTGAAAAGATAGTCTATTACTCACAGTTCCCAAGAGCAGAGGGCATGCCACGTCCCACAGGGCCACATGGAAAAAGCCAGGGTCAGTTAGGAGGCAGACGTGCTGGCAGGGGGCACAGGCGGGTGGCGGGGGTGGGGCGGGGCGGGGGGTACAGGGAATGGGCAAGAGTCTTTATTCCATTTTTGACAGGAGGAAATGAGCCAGGCAGGGCAAGCAGGCTAAGCAGGTTTGTCATTGGCTAGTTGGAATAATTTGAGCAGACTCTGCATCAGGGCTGTCCCTGGTTGTTGGGTACCTGGGTCTGGGGTCATAAAGGCAGGGTGATAGTGGCCTGGCAGAGACAGGCAGGCCTGGCATGCTACAGTCCATGGGGCTGCAAAGAGTCGGACATGACTTGGCAACTAAACAACAGCATACTGGCCTGGAAGTGTAAGAGCTGTTTAAAGGAGGTCATGCCTGGGGAGAGCGGGGAGGGGCTCTAGACTGGTTAGTTTCCATATGAAATATACACTTGCAGGTGGTCGTTTACTGTCTCAAGGGCCTGGTTAGCCCTGGGAGAGACAGTCTCCCCAGGGTCAGTAAAGTCCCAGAAGTCAAAACACTGGAATAAAAAGACATGCTCACTGATTCACTCTGCTGTACGCCTGGAACTGACATAGCACTGTAAACCGACTGTGCTCCAGCTTTTAAAAGAACATGCTTAATGCACGTAAAGACAGGACTATCAGCAGGATTCATCTGAACCCTGAGTATCTTCCATGACGACCCTGGAAGGAAGGTCACCAGGACATCATGCACCAGATTCTGAAGCCTATTAGACCCATTGAGCTTGCTAGCACACTGCCAAATGAAAACCAGGAATAACATACAGAGAAAGTGAACACATTGAGTTCCTCCTCCTTGTGTTTGTCTGTGAGGACTTTTTCAGTAACAAGTGTTAGAAGCCTAACTCAGACTCTCTTAAGCAAAAAAAAAGAAATGTATTCGCTCATGTAATTGGATAGGTCAAGGATCGGCCAACTCCAGGCTGAACTGGACCCACGTTTCAGAAAATGCCCTCTGGACACTATTTGTCTGAGTCTCTCGGCTCTGTTAGTCTTTCCTCTCAGGTAGGTTGTCCCCGTGTAAAGATGGCCTTTTGCAAATCCATGATAGCTTGTTAATCCCAGCAGAATGGATATACCTCTTAAAAGCTCTTGAAAAAAGTACCAAAACTGCCTCTGATTGGCCAGGCTTGGGCTCTGCGTCCTCCCTGGACTCAATTACTGTGGCTAAGACAGTGAGATGCCCTCATAGCCAGGCTTCAGTCACATGCCCATCCCTGGAGTCAGAGAACAGACCACCCAAAACCACAGGGTGAGTGACAACGAGATGGGTCCCCAAAAAGAAGAGACAGGGACTTCCCTGGCAGTCCAGTGGTTAAGACGCATGCTTCCAATGTAGGAGGTGCAGGCTTGATCCCTGGTCGGGGAACTAAGATCCCCCATGCTGTGGCCAAAAAAAAAATTTTTTAAAGGCTGAATGTTTGGGAATTTCCTGATGGCCCAGTGGTTAGGACTCTGTGCTTCCACTGCTGGGAGCATGGGTTCAATCCCTTCTCGGGGGATTAAGAAAAATAAATGAAATAAAAAGCATTAAAAAATAAATAGCTTTTAAAAAAGAAGAAGAGACAACTAGCAAAACCCACAGATGTCTACCACAACTTGGCTTTCTGTCTATCTCCTAGGTGCTCCACATCCTGAGTCAGCACCAGAAACAGAAGAAGAGCATGGGCCGTCATGGAGACCTCCCCTGAAGCAGGTGTCCCTAAGAAGGTCAAGGGCGTTAAGAGTGCATCTCCCAGTGGACACAGACAGGGACACACTCTCGCCTCAAGGTAGCTGCTCCTTCCCTCCAGCATCCCACAAGATCCTGCTCCAGAGGGGAGCGAGGCAAGACATGTCAGGGTCCCCAGCCATGAAAAACGAGGCTAGAAGGGACAAAGCTCCTCCCCAGCTACTTGAAGGTGCTTCTGCTCAGACAGCAGCTGCCGTAACCAAAGTGCCATAGTGAAAACAACTTCGTATCTAGCTCACTAGTTACTAATCAAACCCCCTAAGAATATATTCTATGGGCTTCCCAGGTGTCACTAGTGGTAAAGAACCTGCCTGCCAATGCAGGAGACATAAGAGACGTGAATTTGATCCCTCTGTCAGGAAGATCCCCTGGAGGAGGAAATGGTAACCCACTCCAGTATTCTTGCCTGGAGAATCCCATGGACAGAGGAACCTGGTAGGCTACAGTCCATGGGGCTGCAAAGAGTCAGACACGACTGAAGAGACTTAGCACACAGGAATATATTCTGATTGCAGATGTAAAACAGCACCAAATTACTAAACATTTGCTGCACACTCATTTTCTCCTATCTTTTTAACCTAATCTACTTAGGAATACGTGTTTATTCATTAAAAGTTCATAATATCAATAAAAGTCTTCATTTTTTCAAAACATCATATGAACATCTGAAATTATGTATATATCAAAGTGTATACTTTTAGGTGTGGATAGGTTGAAAATAATGGGCCATATTTAGAAAGCTCTTCACTTTTAGAAAACAACCTTCTTCCCCAAGGGCAAGATGACAGGATCACAGATGCTAGGTGATCTCTGACTGGTGGTAATCAGAAGTAGAAGGAGACACATTAATATTTAAGTTCCTCCTCAGTGCCAGGCACACTGCTCAATTTTTAACACATCTCATCTCATTTGCTCCTCACAACAGTCCTACCCTCATTTCACAGATCAGATATCTGAAGCCCTGGGAGATGAGGTACTTGTCTGAGGTCACGTAATTACAAGTGGCCTCACTGGGCTCGGAGCTGCCTTCCAATCTCAGAATCTGTACTCTTATCACACTGCACTGCCTCTCAGAACAAACAAAGCAATGAACCCAGGTCATGACATTCTTGACACATTTCAGTTTTGAGAATGGTCCTTCGATTTTTTTAATTGTGTATTATGATATAATTTTATTTTGTCATTTTAAGTATAAGACAGTAATAGTATTTATGTAGTTTCTTTATTTTTAATTTTCAACTTCATTTTTTTAATGGAGTATAATTGCTTTACAATGTTGTGTTCATTTCTGCTATACAAATGAAGTAAATCAACTATGTGCATACATACATCCTGTCCCTCTTGGACCTCCTTCCCACCCCCCCATCCTGCCCATCTAGGTCATCGCGAGGCATGGAGCTGAGCTTCCTGTACTTTAGCAGGTTCCCACTAGCTATTTCAGTTCATGGAGCTCAAAATAAAAAAAAAAAACCAACCCGATCAAAAACTGGACGGAAGACTTAGATAGACATCTCTTCAAAGAAGATATACAGATGGTTAAGGGGCACATGAAAAGATGCTCAACATCACTAATTATTAGGGAAATGCAAATCCTTTGATTTTTGAGGCAAGGGCTTCTTTACCATATCTCTTATGTGAGAGTTAATCGTCCTAAAGAATTTGAGGTTTTTTGTGAAAAATCCGAACCTGGCAAGGATCACCCTGTGAGCAGACAGGTAGGAAAGCAGCTTCCCCCTGTGCACCACGGTGTTCTCGGCACAGCCTGAGCCCCAGGAAGATGGCAACACCAGGGAATTTTGTCTTCAGTGCTGCTCACCTCACCAGCCCTCCACCTGTTTTGAGCTATTGTGTCCACTGGGGACCGAGGATCTCGAACTTGTCCATCCTCTAGATCTACGAGGATCTACTACCCTGCCCAAAGGAAATGGGCTAAGAAGTCCCTGATCTCTTGATTAGTTAATATGTTTCCTCAATGTGTGACTCAACCGGGTAGCAGATGCATTAAAAAAAAAAAAAAAAAAAAAGGGATGCAGGGGTTCAAACAGGCAAGATTTCCATGGGAATCTTTCTCATCCAAGGGTTCTTGGGGCAAAAAAAAAAACAAAGCTAGTAAGTGAGACTATCCCACTGTCCAGAGGTTGCACAGACCCGTTTACTTGCTTAGTCCTGGGTTGTTTCACTTCTCATATCATAAAAATGAAGCCAGATTTTATAAATGCACATACACACATGCATATTTTATTTTATTGCTGAACCATCTGAGACTTAACTGCAGACTTTGTACATTTCATCCATTATCAGCATATGTCTCCCAAGAGCAAGGATGTTCTCCTTCATAACCACAGTGCAATTATCACATTCAAGAAAATCAACGTGATGTCATACTATTTTCTAGCATATAGTCCACATTCCAATTTCTCTAATTATACCAGTAACATTTCCTACAGCTGTTTTCTTCCCAATCAATCCAGGATTCAACTCAGAATCATGCATTGTATTTAACTGTCACATCTCTTGAGCATCTTTTTCTCTAGAACACTTCCCCAGTCTCATTTCTCATGACACTGACATTTTTGAAAAGCTGCTTTACAGAATTATCCTCAATTTAGGTTTGTCTGTTTCCTCATAATTAGATTCAGATCAAACCTTTTGGACAAGTATCCTGTGTTGGTTATGTGTTCTTCCCAGTGCATCACATAAGGGACATAAATATCCCTTTATATTTATCCCATTTGTTATAATTTGCTCCATTATAGGTGATGTTAAACTTCTTTATTTGGTTAAAGATGTGTCTGCTAGATTTCTCCATTGTAAAGACACCTTTTCCCTTTGTAAAAAAAAGTGGCTTATGGTACTTTGAGACTGTGTGTGAAGCCAACTTTTCAACACAAACAGCAAGAGTGCATTGAACACGAAATAAAGACCACTGTCTCTGAGATTAAGACAAGATCTCAATCACTTTTAGATTACTGGGTTTCACCCTCCCTAGAGTAGTCCCTGACTTGAAGAAAGAATGAAAGAGAGAGAGATGGAGGCCAGGACCTGCAATGTGGAGTGTTATCATCCATGCTGTTACCGTCTACCGTCTGGAAGGGGCTGTGTGTGCTTTATGACTCAGAGGAGCTGTGTGATCACTGGTCTGCTTAGAAAAATTGCTTTGTGGTTTGAACTCTGCAGCCAGTAGTCCCATGAGTTTGGAGGCTGGGTCTCCCCAGTTAGGGAAGGACCTTGCAGCCTCCCTCGCCTTTCTTCTATCTCAGGAGTACATCAGCAGGACAAGAATAAGAACAACCACTGTTCAGTTCCTCCCAGTTCTTAGAGGTTCCCCCAAGGAAGGGCCAAAAGTAATCCCGCCTTGACTATGGGAGACACCTGGCCTCTGCTCCTTAGCAGGATGGAAAAAAGAAGAGACCAATGTGAGAATGTGGGGAATAAACAATTCTAGACACCAGGAGCCATCACTCGGGGAGTTAGCAAAGAGGTTCCCTCTGCTTCTCGCTGATCCTGATTCTCACTCATGCTTTTTCTCCTTTTGCTTTCGAAGAGGATGTTGCTCCGCCCCAGAAGGGGGCCTCATCACCGTCCCTGAGGAAAGGAAAGAGAAGTCCAGAGAGCCAGAGAGGCCCAGACAGCCCCAGGACATCAGGCCACAGCAGCCCCACAGGCCCCACACGTGACAGACCAGCTGGGGGGGCACTTCCAGCAGCAGGACGAGGTAATCACTCCCGGGGTACACCCCTTTGGCTTGTCTGTGACCCTGGGCTCATTTTAAGCATCTTCCAGGGCCACACTTAAGCTGTCTGAAAGCCACCCCACTGAAGAAGGGAATCAGCTGTGTTTCCAACCATGTCAGTGGGATTAACGCTCACCATGCTCATTCCTCAAGAGTCAGGACATGTTTTTTAAAAGGGTTTTCTGCACCAGCTCGCGCTGCCACGCTGTTGGGTGCTTTCCTCCCTCCTGGCAGCACCCGTGATGACGCAGTTCCCTGCGCTCAACACAGAGACTCGCTACTGGGCTTACGGGGCATTCTCCACACTGAGCCAGAGCCCTGCCTGCCAGGGGACCAGGCTAAGAGGAAGAGGCCCCAGGAAGGAATCAGCCTCCCCAGGCCAGGCCAGGGCCTGAGGCTTGTGAACAGAGGACTCCAGATCTCTTCTGAAGGGTGAGGCAGGCAGGGCCACACCCTCTGTGGTTTAGCCCCACTCAGAGCTCTCATCCTTCAGAGCCGACGGCTCAGGAGACGGAGACAGGGCAGCGGCAGCTTCTGTGGGGGCAGCACACAACGCGAAAATTGCCCAGAGTCCAAACCAGCCCTGAAAATCCGTCAGGGTCCGGGCTGGAGACCTAGAACCGACAAACTGCTCCAAAGTGCAGCCCAGCCAGCTGTCCCTCCCTCATCAGAGGACGGCAACTTTCTCCGGTTGAGCAGCAGAGGAAGGAGATGGAGTGTGTCTGGTGAAGAAAGTACCTCTGTAGAGCCTCACTCGGGGCTTCTATAAGCTCACACTCAGAGAGGAACATGGCAGCTGAGAGCCACCAAGAGACAACAGGCACCACCACGTTCGTCCCATCCCACACTCACTCGGGGACAGACGCCTCACTGTTCAAACCCTGCTCGCTCTCGCTCCCCCACCTCAAACCAAGCATGTATATCTGAAGCCTTGTAAGCATAAATCCAATACATGGATCAATAACCCCGTTATGTGCTTGCATCTTCTCTGTTTAAGGCTGAAATGATCAAAATCAAATCCTGTCTCCCCCTCCCCCACCTCTTTTCTCTCACAAAGAAACTTCCAAACTGTTTCAAGATGGAACCTTTTTCTTACAATTCCCTCCCTTTTATATTTGCAGGGCAATGATGCTCTCTTAATGTGGAGCTAATTACCTAAACTTTAGGTACTGTAATGTCACCACCAAAGGTATTCCTAGGAGGTTTCATTGCCTGGGCCAAATCACACCAAACACACAGACAGACAGACAGACACACCCCTAATTGGACACCCTTACAAGAGGAGAATCTGCTTAGAATAAACAACAGGGCCGTGACTATGAGAGAAGTGTAGCCTGAAGCCTCAAGTGCATAGGTTGAGTGTGTGTAAATGAATGTGCGCACAAGGACATGTGTGTGTCTGAGGGCATGTGTGTGCTTTTATAGCTATGTGAGTGCATGTATGTACTTGTGTGCTCATGTGTGTATGTGTGATTAAGCAGCATGCATGTTTGCCTGTGTGTCTCTGTCCATGCATACACACCTGCGTGTGTGTACATGTGTGCTATGTGTATGTGTACACGCGTGTGCACACCTCGGTGTAAGTATGTGTGTGCGTTCCCGCGTCATGCCTCAGCGTATGTGTATAAACACACGCTTGTAAGCGTCCACTGTGATTGATTGCCAGCTCTTCTCCTGTCCCCTTTGCCTTAGAAATGGGGAAAGTCAAGTCATAGAAACATCTTCAATCTTTCTAAGCAACTGGGAGAGATCCAGTTTTCCTCTCCCCCTTGGCCCAGCCCTGGAGTCCCTAAGAGTGGCAGCATTGACCCTCAGGGCACAGCTGTGCTGCTGAGTGGGGCTCAAAGGCGCTGACAGAGCAAGAAGCAGGGGCCGGAATCTCCGAGATCTGCGCCGAGGGTCTGGGCTGCACACGTGCTTGAAGGACTGGGCTCCCTGTCCTTCACACAGATGCCCCCACCGGCCTCATCTTGTCCCTGCAGGGATGCCTGAAACCAGAGGACCCCCTCTTTTCTAGACCCTCACGGAAGCCGTGACATAGGCAAGTGGCAGCCCCACCCCGTTCATCCCACACTGACTTTAGACAATGGGACCCAAACATGGCGCAGCTCTGGAGAACCCCCGGAGGGAGAGGGCGGCTCTTCACCCTGGCCAGCTCCTGAGCACACCCACCAGCAGCTTCCTGCTAGGGAGAGCAGGCCACCTTCGGCCTCCCTCCCCTGCTCTAGTGCTAACACTGCCGGTACCTGAGCTTATTTTCAAGAAAAACCCAGAGACCCTGCACCGGGACCCTTCTTGCAAGGTCCAGGTAGAGAAATCATCTGCCTGTCCCTCCCAGGGCCGACCCGCACCCAGGGGCTTCCATCAGGGGAGGTAAGATGAGGCAGCCCAGGCCAGCCCTGTTTCCTTGGGGGAAGATTCTACCTGCAGTTTCCAAAACTTCCCAGCAGCAGAGACATCATTAAAAACAGACACAAGTCAGCCAGTTTCTCGCCTCTCGCTGACACAGAGGTGCTTCTGTAGTTCAGACACAATAACCCAATGTTTGCATAACAAGTTCGCTCTTGCATCAGGAGAGAGACGTTCCTGTGGAATGGCTCGGAGGAGGCCTAATGTGCTGTGCTGATGCCTCGATGAGGATGATAAAGCCCTCTTGGTATTTGCCCAAACTAAACACCATCTTTTCTCTTCTTTCCAACCACCCTCCAGAGGTGGAGGTGGCTAATTGGTAATCCAATCAGGTCTCCTTGTTATGAGCCTTGGTTCACTGCTGCAAATCATCTGGCTCCTGACAGATAGCAAGGCAGTTTCCAAAAACCCTTCTGGCAATGTTCACTTTTTGGAAAAGGGATATTGGCTCTGAGCAATAACCATCTTGCAAAGGGGGGGAAAAAAAATGAAGTCAGAGGGTGATGAGTGTCAACCACCCAGGAACCCTGATGATATGTATGCATGAGTTGTATAGCCATCAGGCCTCTTGATGAGGGAGATTAAAATCTGCACTTGTTTCATGGGTGATGTCATGGCTGCCTCAATAAAAAGAGCATGGACTCAGAGCCAGGAGATTTGAGTAACCCTGGCTGGTCCTCAGTATTTTCAAATGACTTTGGGTCCAGTCCTTCCTTGTGTCCAAGGCCCCTCATGCCATTGAAATAAGGGGATGGACTCTGCCACCTGCAGCTATAGACTGTTGCTTCATTTTATGTGTTGTGTCTGTTGCTGTGAAAGTAGCCACTTAGTATTAATACATGGATTTCTAGAAACAAGAATGCATTCATTCCAAATTCAGCATTTAAGAACTTCCATCACACTGAGTCTGTCCCATGATATAAGCGTAAAAATAACTTGGTTCTGAACTAAAGGAAGCAGGAGTCAGACAGGTGGAGGCCAGTGTCAGAGCCTCCCAGCTGGTACAACAGCTGGAACGCAAACACGGTTCTGTTCATCTGCTGCACACTTGTCCACTCTCTTCCAAGAGAAATAGCCCTCCTTCGGGCAAAGCAAAAGCCAGAAGCAAAAGGGAACATCTTCAAGTTACATATCTAAGTGTGTTGTCACATTGTCAATATCACGCTTCGATCATTTTGGTGTCCCTGGCATTTAGCGCAGACCCTGACACCAACGTCACAGGATACAGCAAATGTTCACTGAAAAAATCTTTTAATGGTTGCCACACAAAAGAAAGAAAGAGAGAAATGAAATCTATGCTGAATAAATCAAGACTTGCTCTGAGCAATAACCATCTTGCGTAAGAAAAAAAAAAAATCTACTATCTTGTCCTACTCCCCTGAACAATGTATTTAATCTTACTTGCCTCTCAAACCTAAAGGCATCCACTGTGAACTAGCTAGATAACGAACAAATGAATCATCAGTCCATCAGTCCGTCAGGCACTGTCCTCTCTCTGTCCCATCCTCCATACACTTCAGGCTGGTGGACCTGCAGTCTTGATGGTGACTGGATGGGGCCCAGGGTGGGAGACGAAACCGTTAAACCCGCATCTCCCACAAGCGCCTGCAGAACAGGTTCAGCTCTCTGCTAATGGGAAAGCCTTGTTGTTTTGTTTTGAAAAGCAGTATGCTGAAAAAACATTTCAATTCCTGCAAAGGATTTGCTCCACCTACACCAAATTCTTTGCTGCTGTTTGTTCAAATTCATCTGAATCACCATCCCCATCCTACTCTTCCAATCTCACCTCCCACTATATTCAGGCCCACCCTTTTCTCATCTGTCCAATGACTCGAACATTCAGCCTCCCTTCTCTTATCTCCCAGCTTTGCCTAAATTGCCCTCAAATATTTAGAATCATTTTAAGTTCCAGGGAAAGGCTCATCATTTCTGGGATATTGTCCTAAATAAATCCTCCTCAACTCACTGAACTGCCCCAGTGTAGCCTCAGCCCATTTCTCTCCCTCAACCCCACTTTTGTGATTGCTGCATTTATCTACATCTGTTTTTCCTTTGAGCTCCCAAATATATTAGAAGAGTCCTAGAGAACCTCTTATCTTTATCATATGTCCAAGAAATGCATGTTGATTGACGCAATACCCCAGATGCCAGAAAGGAAAGTTTTTGGAGATCATAGTTGTTGTTTTTTAATTTTTTTTAAAAAAAATTGGGTAAAAGCGGGAATATGATCTGTCTGATCTTTCTGAAACTTTCAGACTCTGTCAACATCTATTTGGAAATAAATTCTTAAGCAATTAGATCATGATATCTTGCTTTCAGATAGCATAGGGAAATGAGTATAAACCTTCAGAAGAAGAAAAAAAGATGTGAAGACTTGAGCTGGAATTTGACCCTCTTGGTCATGTTGAGATATTGCAACACTTAGAAAATTCAAAGGCTTAAGAAAGGAAATTTTAACTTGGAAGGATACAAGTCAAAACATTGGATATTCACTTCAAGTTGCTTATCCTTGATTCAAATCCTTCATTTATTTTCCTAGTCACAATGGCAGCAATAGAAGTTTTCTTTCAGAA